GGGATTGGCATGTAAAACAATCTTTTTTTGTAATTCAAATAAAAAATAAGATGCAAAAAAGAGAGCAAAGGCAGTGCTACAATGTGTCCCCGAATAGTATCATGATATTCATAAATTAATAACTGAAAACAGGTAGGTGCGGGTTAGAATTTGATGACATAGTAGAGTTCTTAGAACTATAAAAACAGGCCAGTTGTTTTGCCGGCAACCAAGGACATCACAGGACATATTAAGAGAGCTGTGTACTCGTCGTCCCTGTTGGCCCAGATAGCTCCTTGTTTTGCCACATAAGCTGGTCACTGGTTCACGTGAAGACAACGTTGCTGGTTAGTAGAAGCTCCATCTATCCTTGCTGTATACTCTAAGCAATATGGCTAAATATACATATCACAATTCATCACTGCCCTGTCTAAGTGTACAGATTTGTGGCTATAAATACATTCACCGTGCTGTGGAGGAGCCACCGCTGCCCATCTTCACCCAACAGAAATGCTGTCCTCATTAAATGTCATCTCCCATTTCTGACTACCCCAGCTTCTAGTAACCACCATTTCGTTTTTTGTCTCTGTGGAGTTGACCATTTTAGGGATCTCCTTAGAGCAATCACAGTGTTTGATCTTCTGTGGCAATGTTATAGTTTTGATGTGATCTGATCCCCAAAAGACTCGTGTGTTAAATATTTGGTCCCTAGCTGGTGACAGTGTTGTGGGAGGTTCTTAACCCTTAGTTAAGACACAGCTAGCAGTAAGTACCAGTATGCATGACTTTGAAGATTTTACCCCCCCCCCCCCCCCCCCCCCCCGTCCATGATGTTAGTAGCTTCTGTCACCTGCTCTCATAATAGAGATAACTGGCTTTAGCCCTAGTGGTATCCCCAAAGCCAAGGACAAAAGACTCAAATCTCTGAAATCTGAGCCAAACTTAAGAATTCATTTTTAAGTTGTTCTCTCAAGTATTTTTGATCACTCCTATGGGAAGTTGAGCACCACTGAATCTTTGAGTCATGATGGCTCAATTTAACCATTTATTTCTCAACATCACAATAATGTGAAAGTCAGAACAAGCACTGTAGAGACCATGATTTGAATTTTGAGTGGGGACCTTCATCCAGGTTAGTGATATGTAGTATGGTCTACTTTCTGTCATGATGCCATGCATTAGCACCATTCTCTGTCTCCCCAACTCTGTCTCTGTGTCTCTCTGTCTTTCTGTGTCATTCCTGTCTCACTCTGTTGGTACATTCGCTATCATATATTCTCTATCTGAATTTGAGCAAATAGTAAGGAAATGTGGCTCCAAAGACCAGCTGTCTCCATCATTCTGCTCACAGAACCTACCTTCATGAAGGGCTGCAAGTGCCAGACCTTTTGATTTCTGCATGCATATTCTCAAGCCTAGAAAGACTCATGTGCTCTCAATATACAGCAGGCAGGACACCAGATAGCATGTTTTTGTAATATTGACACCTTGTAGAGGATCTAAACTCCTCATTGTCAGTTCACATACATACACACTTGTGTCTATGTTTACATGTATTGATATGTGAGAGTGTGGCTGTCTATCTCTGTGTGTGCATATGTATAAATAAACACCTGTTTATATGCAATGTTTTGGTGTGTGACATTCTCTATTTCTCTCTCTTTCTCTCTCTCTCCCTCTCTCTCTCTCTCTCTCTCTCTCTCTGTGTGTGTGTGTGTGTGTGTGTGTGTGTGTGTGTGTTGTGTTTAGCATCATTATGACAGTTGGATCAATCCCATGACTGCTTTCTTTGACCCCACTCTGCTTCCTTGAGTGATTCTCTGCTACACAATCAAGATACATGTGCAACTTGGCCATCCCAATCACTTGGAAAAGAACTCTTCCATAAAAGTTCTTCCTAAACTTTTAAAAATCCACCCAGAATTCCTTACTTTTTGTGATGTCATCCTTCATACTACCATGTTCTTAGAAGCTCTCCTGGTTCTTGTACCACACACCTTCCATTCACACACAGGGTGCAGGGTGGTATCTCTTCTTCTGCTCCTGTGGACTGCCTGTACTCCCTCACTTCTCTTTCCCTCGTGAGTGGGCATTTAATCCCTGGTACTTTTGATTCCTTTAAAGTTTTGGCAGTAGAGATGAGCCTAGAACAAAGAGCTAGTTTGTTGAATCTGTTGATGTCAATTTGAGGACAATATGACTTCTCTGGTGGGAGCTTTTACACTAGGGATAGAGTGTTCAGTTCTTCATTTCACCCACCCCTCAATAGCAACGGCCGCTCAGAAATTTAATTCAAGAAATTTAATTACTGTTCATTGTGTTCTAACTACTAGTCTCATAAATGCAACATGGTACCCAGGTGCAGGCAAAAGCTCGAGGAATACCACTGCAAATCCAGTCTGTTTCACAATGAACTTGAGAAGTCACACCAGTTTAAGTACAGTCTGGGCTACATACTGAGTTCGAAGCCAGCATGGTCTACATAATAAGCTCATAACTCAGATCAAGCAAGCCATAACAAAAGAATGTCTTCCTTATGTTGAGAGTAGTGGCATATGGCTTTTAGTCACAGCACTTGGGAGGCAGAGGCAGGTGGATCTATGTGAGTTCAGACCCAGCTCTGTCTACATAGAAAGTTCAAGGACAGCCAGAGCTATAAAGGAAAACCCTGTTTCCAAAAATGTTTTCCTGGACTACTTTGGACCCCTTTCAGGATCCTGCCTCAAAATGTAAATTTTAAGAGGGCTATCAATATAGCAATATAATATAAACTCAGTGGAAGAGTGCTTGTCCAGTATATGTGATACAATAGTTTCAATCTCCTCTGCCAAAAAAAGTTTGTTCAGGACTATCCATTCAAAGATAATGATAATAATTGATATGGTCCCTGCCAGGATTATTTTGGCCTTTCTGTATGATTTTAGGGACCAGCCTGCCACACTCTTTCACTTTGTGCTCCTGTCCATGACACAGCCACTCGAACCTCCAGAATCCTATGATCTCCATAGACTAAACTGGATTACTTTGCCCACTTAACCTTCATTCTTATGAACTCACTTCTGCCATTTATCAGTCTTTAAGGTTGTTAGACAGACTGGGCATTTTGACCTCTCCATCTAGGGCAGGTCTCAGGCACATGGTGGCATCCCCTCACTCCATTTCTCACATTTGGACTCCTTTCTCCTTTTGGTTGTCAGGAGAAGTATCTATCCTTCAAGAATATTTTCCACCACCACTTCACCATTATGTGACTTCATCTCTTCACCATCTGCTCCACTGGAACATCCTGTTCCACTTGATACAGCTTTCCACAATGGCTGAAGCTGAGACTGTCTTTAGTAGACGACACCCAGGAGTCATGCGAGATGCAAACTATGGACCAAACAGTGAGTGAGTGTCACCTCTAAATGCTGCTTTTTAAATATTTTAAGATTTATTTATTTTATGTGTGTGTGTGTGTGTGTGCGCGCGCGCGCGCGCGCGCGCAAGAGCCCGAACAGGTAAGAAGAGGAATCAGATTCCCCGGAACCAGAGTTACATACAATTATGAATTACCATGTGGATACCAGGAACTGAATCTGAGTCCTTTGCAAGAGTTGTAGGTACTCTTTACTTCTGAGCTATTTCTCCAGCCCCCAAATGATGTTTCTTAGGCAATAAAAATAAAGACACCTTTGGATTTTTGTTTCCAGGAGTTACATCCTACTCAAGTAGAAAATAGTTGGCTCCAAAAAACTGATTCTTTTGGTTCCCATCCAACAGTTCACTTCTCACATTTTCTTTCTGTGGCACTAAGGGTATCATTATAGATAGTGCCTAAAAATAAAGCCCTTGAAAACACACTTTTGGGGAGGTTGATATAAACCATTTATCTAGTACACACAAGTACCTGAGTTGTAACAGCATCACTTCAAAAACAACAACAGCCATAAAACAATAACACAAAACCTAACACAAGCCAGGCATGGTGGCACATGTCTATAATCCAAGTATTCAGGAATCTGAGACACCTGAATTTCTTTGAGTGTGAAACCTGCCTGGGCCACATAATGAGCTGAAGAAAATCCTTGTATGTTGTGAAACAGTCTCAAAAAAACTAAATTTAATTTAATTTTAAAAAGGAAAAAATAGGGCTGGAGAGGTGTCTGAGAGGTTAAGAGGACTGACTGCTCTTCCAGAGGTCCCTGAATACAATTTCCAGCAACCACATGGTGGCTCACAACCATCTGTAATGGGATCTGGTGCCCTCCTCTGGCATGCAGTCAATATAGGCAGCATACTGTAAACATAATAAATAAATAAACCTTTAAAGCAGTTAAAAAAAAGGAAAAATAAAGAAAAACAGCAAAATCTCTAAATAATAAATATTCAAAACCATGACAGCGTAAAAGTACTAAGAAATATGCTTAGTGGTTTCTATAAATTTTAGATTTGCTTCCTGGTGAACATTTTCTTAGGTTCCAAAATGTCCTCCTTTTGACATGTGGCAAGTATTCCAGTGAATTGGATTGCCTCAAGGCAATGTACACTGAGCAGTAAACTACACGTGTTTCCTAGAATCAATTAATTTTATATTACTTTTCTTAATTAACTAGTTAATGATTTATTCATCATTTATTGACTTTTCTATATTAGTTTTTTTGGTACAGAGTCTCACTGTGAAGTTCTGGCTGGTCAGGAACATGAGATATATATTATGCTGACCTTAACACTCCCCCAATTTTCCCAATTGTTCATCTTTGTGGCTGAATATCTATATTCAAACCACATTGTGTATCTGGACCAACAGTCAGAAATGGAACTGTTAAAATTCATTGTCAAGCCACAGTAAATATCCCCCAATGGCTTTTCACTTAATTTGCTTATAAATAGGAATTTCCAGAACAAAGGCCCATTTTCTAAAACATAAACAATTAATCCATCCTGTTACTAGTCACTCAATAGACAATGTCCCATGCATGAGGAGCCTGTCCTTATGTTGTCTTGTATTTCTTTACAGTTATCCAATGTTCACTGTCATGATGATACTGTTCAACAAAGATTTCAATTACCAGGTAGGAGGTTTTGCTTTGTCCACCATAGCATGGATTCTTTGCATCACCTCCATGGGCCTCCCGCAGTGGCGAGTATGGTACTTGAAAGAAGCTGCGATCTCTTACCCTAGTGTGGCCTTTGTGGGAGTGTGGAAAACCTGCCTGTACCACTATGACAACTCGAGCAATATTAGAACGTGTTACCAATACAGCTACTATGACACATTCATCCCTTTGGATATTCGTATTTCTCAACACCTGCTGCTGATCACCAGCATTTTCTGGCTGATTGGAAAAGTGGCCACCATTGTTGCTCTTAGAAATGTGTACAGAGGAAGACAAGAGCAGAATGCTACCCATAATGCCTTCGGCCTTTCAGCGATTCTGAATATCATTGCGAGTAGCTTTGTCTTCCTTGCTGTCTTGTGCAATTATTTCTCCATTGTAAACAAGGAAGGGATTGCCTTTCCACCCTCTTTCCATATGCCCCTTTATCCACATAATCAGAAAGCTGGGGCTGCCATGGGTGTGGCATTTCTATCGGCTGTCCTGTTTTTGTTCAGTGGCGTGATTTTTATTTCTTCTACGGTTCCCTTAAACATCGTAGACTTTCCTGATATCTGAAAATAAATTTACTTCACATTGGGAATTCCAAAATTTCCTGTGGTTATAGCAAAGATTTTGGAGATGTCTACCTAAAGTTTCCAAATTTTCAACAACGCTCAAATGGCCTGTGACAGAAAATGGTTCAATGGCTCCTTCTGTTACCTTTCCTGTCTTGTTTGTTTCATTACTTCATTGGTTGTATAATGGACTTCCATTAAAATTAAAAAAAAAACTTTACCCACTTACCAATTTGTTTTATGAAATTTGGGATTTCATTGATGACAACGAAGGACATGATAAATAAACCCAATACATATGAAAATGAGTATCAGAGCACATTAATCTCTCTTATCGACGTCTGGTTCCACATCTCTTCCATATGAAGTTTTCCAAATGTGTCCAATTTGACAGATTAGTGGAAGGAATCTCCCCAGTATATTACAAGACTTAATGACCTGAAGATGTCTATATTTCCTTTAATAAGCGATCATTTTCTCCTTATCCAACCTAACAGCCTTTGTGACTATCATACAAAACCTCTTGAGTCATATTGAAAGGCCACAAGGTGCCACTAACTCAGAAGCTAAGAATATCAGCAGATTACTTATGAAAGATTTCTAGATAGCCGAGATTTCTCCACTTTGATGTAACTCAACTACCTAATGTTCACAGCAGTTCATTGAGGGATGCCTTGGATTATGACTTTATTTTGTTTCCTAGCCATAAAAACTTCATGTATGATAAACAAATATCCCTTCACTCATTCATTTCTGGCCTTGCATAGCTGACCATTCCTCTCCTAGGTAGGGATATCATGTCTAAATTTGAGGCCCATTTAAATCTCTTTGACAATCCAGTGATTCTTATATATTCTTGTCCTGCAGTGCTCTGTTCTACAATGGCCTGGAGTTGACTGGGGCCTCAGACAACACTGTCCCTATAGTCTCTGGTACATACAGAACCCTACATCATCCAAAAATAATCCTCCTAAATTCTAGGATACCTCTATTCCTGAGCACCCATTAACAGCCATTTCTGTCACAGTTACTCTTACAGACCCTAGTTTCCCTGAAGTCCCCTACTGACTTAAAGTCCTCAGGCATTAAAAGGCTTACTGCTGCTCACTGATTAACTCCTGGCTACTGAGCTACTGAGTCCCTGTAGCTCTTTGTACAATACCCCTACCATAACAGTTTTTTTCAAGGCAGATGGATCCCACAGAAGAGCTTGGGTCTAAGGGCACAGGTTCTAATCCACCCTATGTTTTCCAATCTTTGCACCTTCTTGGGGCAGATACCCTCCAATACCTCCTTGTTCACAATGTTAAACATTAAGGATGTTATATTTCTATCTTCACAGACTCTCAATTCATATTTGTCTTCATCTAGTTTATTCAACAGCTTTCCTGGATTGTGTTATGCTGAGTCTTTAGTAGCAGTCCCCAACTCTTGGATAGGACCTATACAAATATTTGTCTTAGTTACCTTTGTCAACTTGACAGAACCTAGAGTTATCAGAGGGAAAGCTTCCAGTTATCAATTGCCTAGTTCAGATTGTCCTGTGGACATGTCTGTGGGGATTATCTTATTAAGTGATGCAGGGCATCCTAGACTTCTGTGGATGGCACCATCCTTAAGCAATTGGGCCTGGGATGTATGAGACCACCAGTAGAGTGAGCCCACAAGCAGTACTCCATGTTTCTCCATGGTTCTTGCCTGTGGTTTTCAACCTTGAGTTCCTGGCTTGACTTCATTCCCTAACTTCCCTTGATCATGGATTGTCACTTAGACATATAAGCCAAACAGGCTATTTTCTCCCCAAACTGCTTTTGGTCTGGTTTTACTACCATAACCAAATAAAACTAATCTTTCTGTTCCTGGATAAATTTCTCCCTGGGAGTAACCTCCTTTAGTACATGGATGGTTTATCTATCTACAAGCTGAGAAAATTTATGTTAAGTCAAAATACTGTTCCAACTATTCAAGGGAAATCTGAACCCTTAAAAACTCTCCATAACCAACTGGGGAGGCAATGCCAGATGTTTGGCCAAGGGGCAGATGGAGGTACCTGGTGCTAATTCAAGTAACAACTCAAGTTGAAATAGGTTGTCCTTGGAGTTCCTCATTGGACGCTCAAAACCGTTGATGCAAAACACAGTCCTCACCTCTAAGAAAGAGAGTTTATTTTGGATACAAATATGAGCTACATTTCTTATAGGCTGTATGGAGATAACAGTTAATTTTGAGAGCCACACTTATTCTCTGATACTGGAAATGAAAGAAATTATCATATTGAAGGGACTAGGGGAGCCCAAAGTGAGAAATAATGTATTCTTTGAAGACAATGGCTATCTGATATGCCATTTCTGTTTTAGCAGGAAACACTTCCATCTGTAACCCGTAGAACAAGCAGTTGGTTATCTGAGACCCTTACATAGGGACATAGGAGCAAAATTGATTTGTCAGTCTTCCTCCAGAATAGTGTTCCTATGCTGGACAGACTGTAAAAAGGTGTGTGTGGGGAGGAGGGAAGAGAAGGCCTGAAATGCATCTGGACTCTGAAGAACATGACCACACAATTCAACGTATTTTTGAAAGTCAAAAGTTCTACTTCTGCAGAAGGCCATGTTAAATCGAGCAAGCCAGCAAACCTTCCCAGTAGGGGTCCCAGTGGTATTTTGACTCCTTCTGCAAAAGGATCTTGTGCCACAGTCATTCTGAGTGGTCAGAGCCCAGCATCAATGGGATAAGACCAGGGCTGCTTCTAGGGATAAAAGAAACAGGGCTGACCCTGGAGGAATTCAAAGTTTTGCAATTTATAATTTTTAGTGGTTTGTTTTAGTCAACACTTTTTACAGAAAAAACAGTACATTTTGTTTACTTTGCCCACAATATTCATAACTTCTAGGACTGATGCCATTTCCCTTTTCCCTTTCCAAACTGCCATACAATAACATTTGAAAAGGGAGCATTTATTCCTAAATAAATTTATTCATGAAAAAATAAAATAAAATGAGATGAGTTATTGAAAAATTAGTTAGACCCTGGAAATCCCTTGCAATGGTACCTTTAGGAACCATATAATTAGGCATGAAAGTGCAATGCTGATGAACTTTCATGACATAGAGCCATTTTTTGTTGACATCATGTCAAGGGCTAGTCTATATCCCCATGCCATTCTACTGGTAACATCTAAATGATTTACTGTTCTCTTGGTAACATCCCTTGGGAAATTTACAAATAGTTGATTTTTAGCATATATTATTTGTTCAGTCTACACTTTTACTTATGATAGACCATCAAAACAGCACTGACTGAAATTCTGCTGCTATTTGATTCCTCTTCTTAAACTTGTAAAGGATTCCTTCAAGCACTCTCATGGAATTTATGCGAATTTGAGGGTCAAATGACCCTCTAGGAATTAGAAACTCCCTTTTTCAATGAGACAATTGAGAGCAACCTTAGGCAGGTTGGCAATATGCAATACTGAAAAGAGTAGCCAGTTGACCAAAGCACAGACCTCAGTCCAGTTATCCAGTAATATCTCAAGTAATAGTCCAGCACACTACCACCAGATATCTGCCCTGGCCATACTCAGGTTAGAAAACAGTGTTCATGTACTCAAAGGCATGGAGGCCTTGTCATTCAGACACAGTTCCCAAGAATTCCAAATTCTTCACCCTCCTTTTCAGGTAGGAGGTGTAATTGGTTCCTATTGAAGGAGTTCACACAATTGAAAGGAGAGGGCTTTTGCCTCAGTCCCTTGGTGGCTGGGAACAGAAAGTACAAGAATTGACAGGACACACTCCTCCAGGCCATCTCATCCTGGAAGAGGAGATCACACATTGCATCCCTAGGATTCTGAGATATACCTGATCAGAATGGACATCCCAATATTCTGGCTTCCCTACAACATACTTGTAAAAGTCATTCTTATTTAATGTTCTGACAGAATATATAATCCATTCATGCATGAATCCATGCATTCATTTCCCCACACTCAGTTTCAGTTTCCATAGTATGTCTTAAATCTTAAATTTCTATTTGCATACCCTAGGAATTTCTGGTTTTCTAAGTCTCCATGGGGTAAATAAGACTAGATATGCATCAAATTGAACAGTTCACAGAGAGGCTGTTGGAATGGCATTCATTACCAAATTTTCCATCCCTTTCCCCATAGTAAACAGACTAAATGAATCTTTTAAAATCTTAATTTTCAAAGGGTCTCTTTGTGCTATGATTGCCTACTTCCCCCAACACTGCAGTCAGCAGCTTTCTTTTATTTGGGTGTAATGTGCCTGTTCTAGTTTGCCTTATATTGCTGGGATAGACTTCGTGGCCAGAAGCAACTTGGGGAGGAAAGTGCTTACTTGGTTTACACTTCCACATCACAGTCCATCATGGAGTATACTCAGAGCAAGGACTTAAGTAGGAGCCTGTAAGTGGGACCTGAAGCAAAGATAAGAAGAAGTGCTGATTAGTGATGCGATTCCTCTGTCTTGCTCAGCTAATTTTCTTTTACAGCCCAGATGCATGTGTGAGGAAAGAATAAAGCCTTGAGTGTCCTGAGAGAATGTGTACTGTTGACATGGGTTTTATCATGTAAAGAACCTCGAAAGTCAGGCTCAGAATGATGGAATGCCTTATTTGATGGGAAAGCCTTCTTTGAGTGTTGACAGTGTGTATAAAAGTGTTCACCATGGCTTTCCCTCCTCAGACACTCATGGCAAACACTGTTTCCTCACAGAGACCATTCCTACAGAGATTAGCTAAACCTGTTTCATTGCTCTAGCTGCATAACCGAAACCCCACCTTCTGGTTTATGTGCATAGCCCCACCTCCTTGTTCAGCTGTATGCAATAACCCCTCCCCTCTGTTCAATTCCATATAATAAGTATGCTGAGATTACACAGTGCTGTGGTATCTCCATCAGAGATCCCAGTCTACCTGACCCCTGATTCTTGTGCCCATTCCAAGTGTCCATGTATCCATCTTCCTTTTCTTCATTCGGTCATCACA